GGGGGGGGGCAGCGCTGGTGAGCTGGAGGTCCCTGGGGAGTGGTCAGTGTGGAGACAGTACTAGAAGCCATGAAGCTGGGTGGAATCATCAAGAAGCATCAAAGAGCCCCAAGAACTAAGGCAGGGAGGGCAATAAGAGGACAAGGAAGGAGCCAGTGAGGCAGGAGAAGAGCCAGGAGGGGGCATATCCTGGAGGCTGCTTATAGATAAAGTTTTTGGGAGGAGGTACAATCGACTGGGCCAAAGGTTGCTTGATAGATCTAAGAATTTATGTTTTAGGGCTGACTCTGTAGCATAATGGTTACGGGAGCCAGGTACCACATGGTTGACTGCAGTTTGAATCCCAGCCCCACTGTCTTAAAAAACACAGCAGAAACATGTGCATGCGAGCTCAACATCGCAACAGGATGGAGAAATGGAAGAGAAAGTATTGCAGTGTGAGCGTATCCCACAAGGGGTCGGCATTTTCTCCCTCTCCCTATCTCACTGGCTCTAGAAAGCATACATGCTTGGTAGAAAAGAAAAAAATAAATATGTCTTAAGTGTAACAACAGGGAAGTCATCGTTGACTTTGAAAAAGCCAGCTGTAATGGTATGGAGAGGGCCAAAGCTTGATTAGAGAAGGTACAAAAGAATGGGAGAGAGGAACAAGACAGAAAGTACAGAAAATTCTTGTTTTTTTTTGTTTTTTTTTTTTTTTTGAAGGGATAGTGATTAAAGATGAAGAATTTTGTTTTGTAGTTTTAAATGAGCGAAATCAGCATATTGTTTGTGAGCTGTATGCTGGTTTTTTTTTTTTGACTGTTTTCACAGTTATAATGTATTTACAACAGCCTAAGCACTTTACATGATCTATTTAATTTTCAGACAACTCCACAAAGTAGATTCTATTACCCTCATTTTGTAGAAAAGAAAACTGCAGACTTAGAGAAACTAGTCAGTTTGCCTAATGACACACCATTTAAAGGGGGAGGCTAGTCCAGACTCAATTACACTATGGGGCCCTTTGTGTCTGTGCCTTGCTCAGTTTTCTGGGGGCTCCCCTTGAAACTGGAATGAAGGATGAGGATGGAGGGGAAGCCATGCTTTGTGGTGGAATAGAGTGGGTAGAACAGGCACATGGCAGGTGTGGGCATGCACAACCTTGTCCAAGTTCCCCCAAACGCTTGCCATCTGAATACCCACTAAACTCAGATCAGCATTAGAATCCACCTATCTTGGCCTTACAGAGTAGCTTTGAGTTACTGAAAAGGAAAACGTTTTAAGCCCTCTTCAGATGTATTCCTAATTTCGATTTCCCAGTGATGCTGTTCTTGGTTCTATCAGTATTGAGAAACTGCAGGGTCCCAAAGGCTTCTGGAAGTTGCACAGCAACAGAGAGGATCAGCAAGATCCTGAGCAAGGACAGCCAGGGCACGATGGCTAGGGCAGCCGATCCCACGTGGCTGACTGTATGGTTTGAACTCTGAACCAAGAGTCTTGAAAAACATGCTAGGTGTGTGTGTGTGTGTGTGTGTGTGTGTGTGTACCCAAAATACCAAGAATGGAGGAGAAGGGATTGTGGTGTGGCCATCCTCCCTGGGGAGCACACTCTCTCTCTCTTTCCCCCACTTTTTTCTCTTCAGTGAGTGCATGTGCTCTATGCCAATTTAAAAAAAATCAATAAAAAGAGTCAGTGGGTGGCATAGAGTTTAAGGCATTGGCTCCCACATGGCCAGCTTTACAGTTCAAGTCCCAGACCCAGTGGCTTGAGAATCATAACAGGTACGTGTGTGTGAGCGCCCAAAATCCAGAGGAGAGTGGAGAAGAAGAGACTGCAACATGGCCATCCCCCCGGGGGAGGTGATTTCTCACTTTCCCTGTCACTGCCTCTCTCTCTAGTGAGCTCATACACTCTACAGCAAAAACAAAACAAAACAACAACAAAAAACCCAAAAACAAACAAAAAATAACAACAACAAAAAAACATTCTCCTCCAAAAGAAACAAAAAACTATTAAAAAATTTTTAAAACGATCCTAAGCAAATATTAGTACCCAATAAAGACATCACAAAGCACTTATTAGGCAGGACATAGAAGATATAGAGTTTATTTTTATAGACCTCTTACCTAGCTACATACACACAGTCACCCATAACAGTAGAGAGAGGCAAGGGGAGAGAATGAAAGAATGAAAGATCCAGACAGAGCACTCAAAGACACATTCCCAAGGCAATATGTGATTAATTGCCAGGGGGCTGGTTTGGACTCAAGATGATAACTAAACAGAGTTCAGAGCCAGGTCAGAGCTGGGTAGGCAGTGATTGGTCTGAAAAGGATCAGTGGAAGAGATATATCTGAATAGAGGGAGGAAGAAATTCCCAAAGGGGAAAGCCACAGGAACAAAAGCACAGAGACAGGAAAATTGAAAAAATAAGTTAACATAGCCCATAATAGATCCTTTGGATAAATTAAAAATTAATGGAGAAGAAACTGGGTCAAAAGAGTAGTGTGGGCTTAGGGAACCAGCAGTTAGCGTAATGGCTATGTTGCTGGACTCCCACGTAGTCGATCATGGTTCGCATCCCGGACCCGGTGGCTTAAAACTCATGCCGGGCGCGTGTGCGTGCGTGCCCAAGATCCCAAGAGAACGGAGGAGAAGGGATTGCTGCGCAGCCATCCTCCCTGGGGGGTAATTTCTCGCTTTCTGTCTCTATGTCTCTCTCTGTCTGTCGAGCGCACGTGCACTATAGCGAAAACCTCTCAAAAAAAAAAAAAAAAAGAGTAGTGTGGGCTTTCAGTAATAAACTGGAGGAGAATGAACTTGATTGTGAGACTCCACTAGCAAATGCATGGAAAACGCAGGACTATGCACAGGAAATGACATGATGGAAAGGTGTTTTTTTTAAATGTTTTGTTTTGTTTTGAAATTAACCTGACGACTATATACAGCACAGCTCTGAGGTAGAGGGATTAGAATCCAGAAGGCCACACTAGGGCTGTGCACCAGGAATACAAAGAAATGAATGCAGGGTACTTCATAGCAAGTGGGACTATTACCACAGGGATAACAAATGAAAGGTGAGTAGTCTACGTATGCCTCCTCTTCTCATCAGCAGCATGGTCTTGGGAGAATACCTGACGAGCTCTGTCACTCTCCTGACGGATCCCTGAGAGTGCAGTTTGCACACTGATACTTAAACCAAACATACAACTAGGTATTGAGATAAATTATTACTCAAACACTGAGCCATCTTTTCCTAGAGTGACTGAGCCCAAGACCTACACTAAAGCTCTTATCTGGACTTGCAGGCCCTTTCGCTTAGATACAGCCATCAGAGAAGAAATAGGATCCTAAAATGAGATGAATGAATGCTTTTGCCAATAGAGAGAGCTCTCTCTAGCTTCTATAATTGGTTGATCTTGTGGGCAGCTGCCAAGTCTTGACTCTGCTGGGCCTTTCTTAAATATTGCTAGTTTTGTGTATACTTTGGGAAACAATAGCAAACTATTCAAATTTGGAAGCACAGATATTAAACTCTTAAAATTTCCTGGTATGAAGGATAACCTACGGGGTTGCTCTGCTCAGGGAATATTTGGAGATCAACTGACTTGGTTGGCATCCCTTTAAGGACAAAGTTGTAATCTTATCTCAGAAAATTCCTTGCTGGC